GGCCTAGGCTAATTAATTAAAAAAAATAATACAGCAGTACAAACAAGTCTGTCGTGGACAGCAAATGGAAGAGGAGACTCCCATGAAGTCAAGTGTACGTTTTTCATATTGAAAAACAGTTCCATACTTTAAATTATCGGTCTAAACTTGTGTTTGCCATTCACAAATTATCAAACAATACATTGTTTATTCCAGTAAGCTACAGCAGTCTTTCTGCACATACAAATAAACAACATGCTTTTGCTTCGTAGGTTCGCTTCGCGTAGCCTTGCTTAGATTGTTTATATCAGGCTACGATGTATCTACGATGTATCTACGAAGCCTGCGCGTAGGTAAAAGTGCAATATTTCATGACTGTACTGTAGACCTACATTACTAAGATTTTCTCTATACGTTCATGTGTGCGTTGGCCAAGAAAACGTTGCAATGCAGGGAAAGTGACACACTTCAATGTGTGCGCAACTGAACCGCGGGAAGGAGAGGGATGCCTAGGCTAGCGCCTAAAAAATGAGATGTTATTACAAGGTCTCAGGCTTAGACTTTACATAAACATTTGTCTGAGTCATACATGGAACTGCTCTGACATGATTCCAGTTAATTTCCAATATTTATAGCTCTGTAATTCCTGCAAACCAGGAGTAATATTCCTCTGATTCGCCAACCAAATCTCGCAAAGCTCATACGCATATCTTACTCTTCCGGCAAAAAACAGATATGACCTACGTTGACCTAAATGTTGACCAATCATAATCAAGAAAATTTGAAAACCACAGTACGTATCGTGTTAAAATCTACTTTCAAATAGGCCGAGTTTTTGGTTATAAAAACACCTTTATGTAGGCTAGGTAATATTTTGGTAAACTTTTATATGTTGTTTTACATATAATTGGGTTTATATTTAGATCATATGTTTTGTTGCAACTTTGTCCAGTCAAATCCGTATTTTTGGTGGACTAGAAGTTGCATCCGCCCGTACCGTATTGACTGCCGCAGTACCATTCATTTCTATTTATACTAGGCCTAGGCCTATTTAGTACTACTACTACTACTCTACTAGGCCTCTAGGGCCTAGGCTAGTTAGGCGGCCTAGCTAGGCAGGCATATAGACTACATAAAACGAGGCTATGCCTACTAGTAGGCTTAATACCCATGCCTAGACTATCCATCGTCATATCATTATCATGGTCAGTTATTGGCCACGACATGCAGCAGTAACGAACGCTTCTTACTGCCCTTCATCTTGTTGGCGCTGTGATCAACAAACAAGGCAAGACGATGATGGCATGTGTGTGCCAGTAGTGATTTTCTCAATCAATTTACAGGAATGTCTCTTCAAACATTTCTAATATAAATGTATACTAAATAATACTTACGAATAAGAAACAAATAGGCTAATACTACTAGGCTACTAGCCTAGACTTCGTGCTGCAGGCCCAGAGCATACATGACCTCCATCTTCAACCACTCGGCGGCTCGTTCAGTGGGATTGGATGGCCTTGGAGTGGTCGGTTTGGTCACGTGACGGAAAAAATTAGACAGGTGATCGATCACGTGATCATACACAAATCACTGCCTACATGCAATAATACTAATAGTAAACATGAATACGTACAATACATTAATATAAGCGCTTATTTATAATACACCAACCTACATTTTTTTTTAGAAGAGCTATTATAAGAAACACCGACGCTGAAATTGCTTAAAAAATATAGACAAAATAAGAACGGATTAGACACGCAACCCGACGTACAACCAATGTTTTTTTCTAGTTTTTATTCCGGGTGGATGTTACTGGGATGAGATCCTGACTATGTTACTGGCTAATGGGAAATCCTATCGAAATGGGTGTCAATGGCATTTTTAGCTATCTTTAGTCAGAGAATTATTTAAAGGATTTTTTTTTGGAAAAAGAAGTTAAACTTTTAGTTACAATTAAAGGAAATCCAAGTAAGTAATCCATTGGAATATCTCTATGATATTTGCCCTGATATGGACTTAAGTGTGTAAAAAACTGAAGTTAATTTAACTGTTCCTTGCTGATGTCCAAGCTCTAGATTTATAGTTCACATACAATCCGGGTAGGTTAATTTAAAAATTATGAACATTTATTGTAAAGACAGTGCTGTTTGTTTATGAATAATAAAGACAGGCCTACTTTTTAATTTAAGCACTTAGGTCTGGCCTAAATTTTCATAAGTAATAACATTTTAAAAATTAGAATATTGTGTCAGTGGAAATGCTGTTTAGTTATCTCATCTGCAACAATCGCGTATAGCACTGCTAAATTTCTGTAGATGTTGAATATATATAATGTGTTCTGAACCACCGTCGTGTGTGCTTTGAATACCGTACCATAGTCGATCTCTCTGAACTGTCTGGTGATGATAAATTGTCAAGCCTTAAAAGCGTGGGATCATGTTAAGGATGTTTATTACATCCAGTTTTCTCTATGCGACATATCACACATACTATTTTAACGTGATAAGTCCATGTGCCCTGCACCCCCAGATACCAGGAAAACCCACATTACCTACATAACAACATAGTATAGGCCTACGTATAAGCCAACACTAACCAGAGACATTATATAGAGGTGCACTACAGCGGAAATCTGAAATAATGCCAGTAGGAAGAAATATCAGTAGGAAGAAATGTCATTAACAAAGGAGCCAGAAAATTAATTGAAACTGATAGTAATAATGATACTAATAATAAATGTAAAAAGAAATGTAAAACAAAAATGGGGAAAATAGAATACCACACAGCCTGATACTCAGATGCAAAACTGAGCTGGAGCAGCTGAGCCTTCAAATCTGAAGTTAGCTCCTTATTAAGAAGTAGTAACATTAAGTAACTATAATTGATTAAACACAACATAATTAATATATAAATAAGTATATTTACTGTCTATGTCTCATTATCCAATTATTATAAAGTGTTATTTATTATGTTACCCTTTAATACACCACTAATTTGAAATGAACAGAGTAATCAATAATTACTCCTTTAAAAACCTAATATTTTATTTAGAGGGGCCCGTTCATTATTATCAACTACGCCCTTAAGGTATTGTCTTAGCTTTCCTATCCACGCCACGCTATATGTTTCTTATGTCACTCATCTTACGTCAGCATTATATTTATTTATACTCTATTTTATATCTGTACGTACCTGATGAAGGGCGATTAAAATTAAAAATAAAAGATAATAAAATAAAAAATAAAAATTAAATTCATTAAAATTAATGCACACACACGCCCATATAGTATAGAGAAAAGTAGACGTTAGAATTAAGAAGAAATATGTGGGGTTTTAGGTTGTTTAAGAAGACAGCAAAGGAGTCGATAGTTAAGGAGTATTTAAGAGTGTTTGGGAAAGAATGTCTTGGAAACCCATGAATAGCAGAGAGATGCAAACAATTGGTCCTAGCTTTAATGTGTTTGAATTGTAGTGTTTCTAGATAGTGAGTGTTGACAATAATGTGTTGATGAACAGAGTCAATCAATTTTACCAAAGAGGGATTTACAAATGAAGGAAAATAGAAGGTATTTCCTTCGAGCTGAGAGATGTGGCCAAGTACGGTATGAATTCCAAGTCTTGCGTCGTATTCCATTACACCACGTCTTTGTTTTAGAGAAGACTTGTGGCTCTCCTTTAAACTGCTTCAATCCTATCTATATTAAGTTTTTTTATGTGAGGAAGCCATGCTGCAGCACCATCAATGAGGTCCATTACACCACGTCTTTGTTTTAGAGAAGTCTTGTGGCTCTCCTTTAAACTGCTTCAATCCTATCTATATTAAGTTTTTTTATGTGAGGAAGCCATGCTGCAGCACCATCAATGAGGAGAACAACAAGTGATCGGTAGAGAGAAAATATAGCTTGAGATGATGAACAACTAGCAATATTTGAAATTAAACCAAGCAGTCTGTATGCAAGATTAATGCTCTGAACGTGGTCTTCCCAAGTTCGAGGGTGATTGATAGTAATGCCATAGAATAATTTAAAAAACGTGGGGTCGAGGGTTGTCTAAGGCAGAAGCCCATTGATTGTACGCATTTGGCTCGTGTGTGCTTTAAAGAACCCAGTACATCATTCGAGAAGAGTAGGGGGTTACCCCGGTGTACTGGTTCATTAAGTCCCCTGTTTTTAAATGGATATGTCACGTAGGACGTTGATTAAGTTCAATTATTGGCAAATGAATACCTTATTGTTTTATAGCAGTTTATTCATTATAAAGAACTTTTTAAACCATGATGAAACTATTGTACTGTATTTTGTATAATATATACGAATTACGAGAAACATGAATAACGGGAACGGATTGTACTTTAGTCATTGTGTTGCAACAGGAACAGTGTGTAGAGATCACTGTGAGTTTGTATAAATGCCAGTGATTGCCAATATGTATTATAGGCCTACTATACTGTAAACTAAAACTACACAATATAAATTAATCATGTAGAAATGTCCTCATCAGCCACCTCGGGTGGGT